GTCCAGCAAGCGCGTGGCGCGCAGCAAGCCAGCGCACGCCGACGCGCACGACGCGATCCAATTCCGCAAGGCGGCCAAGGCGGCCTACCGCGAGCAGAACGACGCCATCTGTCGCAGCAAGCTCTCGGGCGACATGTTGCTCGAGCTGCAGGCGTACCGCAAGGCGTTTGAGGCACTCGACCGCGTGCTCAAGTAGGGGTAGACCTATATACACCCGGAGGTCAATCTGCATCGCTCTAGCGTCTACGTCAGTGTGTATTGGGTGGTGTTTGTGCCGCTCGGGTCTCTTGGTAGTTAGTTAGAGGGGCCTGCTGCGGCGCTGCGGCCTGGCCGTGGCGCGCCCTGCGGCGGCCGGGGCCGGCCGGCCGCCTGCGCGCGGTGTGTGGACCGCTGCGCCGTCCTCGCCACGCCCACGGCGCCAGCGCGCGCAACTGGCCTCAAAGCTCCAACTCGCGCGCACGCCCTCGCGGCATGCCGCATCGTCAGAGGATACACATACAAAACACACAGCTTAAAACGCACAGCATACAGACAGGGGGACACACGTCCCTAAATCCCATCTCGTCTCAGAGTTTGACCGTTTTCTTTATTTATTAGCATACAGACAGAGCACAGAGAGGTGTGAGCTGTGACAGGTGTCCCTGTCCGATCCCGTTCCACCGGCGAGAAAGCGTGTTGTCCCTCTGAACGCGAGAGAAAAACACGCGAAAGGTGAAGATGCACAGCCCTTCGGCAAAGGGCACAACCATCGCCGCGCCGACCGCCGTGAAGCGTGATCCGTGAACGCATAATGAGAGAGACGATTTACAACGTCAACATCGAACATGAACGTCAGGAACGAGAACGAAGGGGCACTGCGGGTCGCACAACACGATTGAGACAGAATCTTCCCAGCTCTTCGGCCTGGCCGTCCCCCCATCCCTTAATTGTTTTCACGAAAGAAGATAGAGGGACAGGGGCTTACACGAAGCTCGGCGCGCGCTGCGCCGCGCTGGGGGCAGGCGGGGGCAGACCACTCGATCAGAGACCATGCTAGATTTGGCGCAGCAGCGAGAGAGAGAACACGTACAGCTCTAGAAAGGCAGCTCAACGCCCGCGAGGGCGGCGCCGTCCTTGACGATAAGGCCGAGCTGCTCGTAGGTGCCCATGCCGGACACCTATGAAGTGTCGGGATAAACGTCGTCGAACAGCCGCGTGGGGAAAAAGGGGGCCACTTCGCATCTCCGTGTCTCCTAGGTAGGGGCCCACGGTATGGAAAGAGCAAGGCCCTTGCACACGGGTGAGCAGTGTGCGTGCGTGCGTTGTGCGTGTGTGTCTGCGTGCGTGTCTGCGTGCGTGTGCGCGTGTCTGCGCATGTCTGTGTGCGACAGGCACCTTCTGCGCCATGAGCTCGCCGAGCACGGCGATCATCGCGAGGCGGCC